TTTCCACGAAATTTTCCATTCAAACTGCATGAAAAGCAAATAAAGAGATGGAATATATACTGTGATATATGTTAAAAAAATATCAGCTGGTGTTATGTGGAAAGAATGTGTGAAGTGCTTTCACAGTGGTACTGACACATCTTTGTAACAGAAGGCAGCGATAAAGAGTATTTGTATAAGAAAGGCAGCTGTGGGTATACCCTTTTATCATATGGCATAACTTGAAAAGATAGATAAGCAAGTTACTGTAGCCTTAAAAGAAAGACTTTCAAAGTTGAAGGTAGATCATATTGAAGTATTGAGTAGCACAGATTAAATATATCTATCTGTGCCAAGTCAGAAAAGTATAATTGGAAAAGTAATATTCTTTTGATACATTTCATTTTGTGATTTTGTAATTTACAATTGGAAATTTTTAATCCATTTATTTAGTTAGTAGAGCAATTGCAAAATGAAAAGACAAAAGTGAAAATTATAAGCAGCAGCGAAGATGAGTTAGATTTAGACTTTTATACAGATAAGTTTGAAAAAATAAACATTGATGTGGAAGAAAACGATAGTAGCAGTAGTGATATCATCCCATGAAGAAAAAATGGGTGAATGTAGTAGAAAGTGATAGTAATGAAAGTGTTAGTAGTTTCGAAGAAGTAGAAGACAATGTATTGTCAAGTGACAAATGGAAAGATGTTACAGAAAAAGACCATACGTCAGTGAAAATAAATTTTGTTGTACATTCTCAAACAACAGAACCACAGATAACAGGCAATATAAGAGAAAGATCTATTTTACTCTGTATTTTACAAATAAATTAGTGAATAGTGTAATAAATTATGCAAAAAATAGGAAATACAAAAATATATATCATACAAATCAATTTGGTGTAAGTGGCATGGTGATGACTGACAAGAATTTTAAGCTTTTATTGCAGTCATCCTAATGTGGGAGGAAGAAAAGGAGACTACATTGTCTGCCTGAATAAGAAAAACACCAGGTGGAAGATGTCAAGCAAATTATTATTGTGCAACATGTATCACTGAACCTGCAATGCATGTCAGTGACTGTTTCACATGTTACTACATGTTAGAAAAATGTTATAAATGTTTGATATTTTTGTCATAAGTAAGTTCCTCAGTGTCCAAAATCCCATTGTAAGCCAAATATCATTACAGTAAGATAATTGGTTCCAATGCTATACTGTCTAATAAGAAGTTATTTGTTTTTCACTGTTTCATAAAGTGCAGTCTAGTTGCTGGTGGGTGATCCGTGAGCTGTTCCCAAGTGCAAAGGGTTAACAATGGTGATAAGCAACATAGAGACAAATAAGGCAGGGGAGAGGGATAGTGTCTTATTTAGGCTGCTATAACAAGAATACAATAGACTGGGTGACTTGAAAAACAAACATTTCTTTCTCACAGTTTTAGAAGCTGGGAAATCTGAGATCAGGGAACCAGAATGATTGAGGTCTGGTTTCTTCACACAGTAAAGAGAGGTAACTCAGGACTCTTTATCCTCTTATAAGGGCACCAATTCTATTACCCCCATGATCTTATCCAAACCCAATTACTTCCCAAAGGCTCCACCTCCAAATACCATCAGACTGGGGACTAAGGCTTCAACATGTAAATTTTGAGGGGACAAAAACATTCAGCCCATAGCAGATAGGGACCACTGTGGGAGAGGATTGCCATTAAATAGAGTTGTCAGGGAAGGCCTCATGGGGGTAAAGGCCTCCAGAAGGTGTGAAAATGACCCATGCAGATGCATGTCCAGAGAAGAACATTCCAGACAGGGGGAACAGACACTGAGGGAGGAGCATTTGAGTAGGTTCAAAGAAAATCCTCAAAAGCCAAGTCTGGAGCTGAGGGAGAAAAGTAGATGTGGTAAAAGATAACAGGAGGGCAGATCCTGTAAAGACTTATAAGGCACAAAGGGCTTGGATAATTACTCTAAATGAGATAGGAAGGTATGGGGGGGGTAGAGTTTGAGCAGATAAGTGATATGATCTGGCTTATGTTTTAGATTATTCTGGCAGCTGCATAGAAAATAGCCTTGGGTGGGGGCAGAGGGGCAAGGGTAAAAGGTCAGTTAAAATCCTCTCCCCTGGCCATGCTTGGTGGCTCAGCCTATAATCCCAGCACTTTGGGAGGCTGAGGCGAGTGGATTGCCTGAGTCCACGGGTTTGAGACCCGCCTGGGCAACTTGGCGAGACCTCGTCTCTACAATACATCAAAAATTAGCCGGATGTGGTAGTGTGCACCTGTAGTTCTGGCTACTTGGAAGGCTGAGGTGGAAGGATCACTGGAGCCCAGCAGGTCGAGGCTATGGTGGCCGGGAGTGTGCTACTGCACTCCAGTCTGGGCGACAGAGTGAGACTCCAACTCTAAAAAAAAAAAATTCCTCCCCCCAAATCCAGATGATGATTGGCTGGAACCAAGAAGGCTACTATAGGGATGTGAAGCAATCTAATTTTAGATTCTTAGAATTTGCTGGTAGATACACAACGATGTGTGAGAAAAAAAGAAGGCGTTAAGAATGACTCAGGTTTGTGGCCTGAGCAAATGGAAAGCTGGAGTCGCCATTAACTAAAATAAGCTTTCTGGGTACAGATTAAGGGCTCAGTTTTGGACATGTATGTGTCACATTTTCAGTAGATGTTCAGGTGGAGGTGTTGAGAAGGCACTTGGAAAAATGAGCCTGAAATTTAGGGAAGAGGTCAACTGGAGGAGCTAGCAGCATATGGATGGCATTAGAAGCCATGAAACTTGGGACAATAACTTAGGAAGTAGGTATAAACAGAAAACAGAGGCAGTCAAGGAATCAGCCCTGGGATACTCCAACATTGAAGACTGAGGAGACTGAGGCGACATTAACGAGGAAAGAAGGTTTGTGAAGTGAATGATTTGTGGAAATGAAGAAAGGGTTTCCTTAAGAAAGAAGAACTGTTGCTAACAGGTCAAGTAAAATGAGGCCTGGGAAATGAGTTTGACAAGAGCAGTTTGGCTAATGTGGTGATTAGAAAATGTTTAAGAGATGATGCAAGCGGACAAAATAGAGTCAGAAAGTATGTACTACTATTTTGAGTAATACTATAAAGGAAAAAAAATAAGATGGGGAGTTTTAATTTTTTACAAAGATGGGAAAAAATGAAAGCAAATCTGTATCCTGAAGGAGAAGAATCCAGTTGAAAGTGGAAAAAATGTAGCTTCAGGAGACAGCGAAGAACGGTTCGAGCCACAACCTTTAGCAAGTGAGAGTGTCCAAGTGGAGGGATGTGTCTTGTTTGGTGCATAGGCTGTTCATCCACAATACAGTGAGAAATGGTAGGGCATATAGGCTTGGCTGCAGAAAGTGAGCAGATATAAGAGTGAACTTGTGCAAAGCCTCTTCTGATTATTTTCTCAGTGAAAGAAAGGTTGTTAGCTGAGAATGAAGATCAGGGAGCAGGTGTTGGGAGTCATCAAAGAGAATGGAAGAATGAACCAGAGTCAAATAGAATGCTATAATATGAACCTATACATGTAAATTACTTTTCTCTTCAAATTAGACCTCTTGGTAGGCAAATCTCTGTCATCTTAAGTTTTGAAAAAAGTCAAAACACACTTGGAGCTAAGTTTGAAGGATAAAGTACATGACTGAAACCAAGTAATCCTATTTTGACCCCAACTAGGGAATTCCTTAGGATATCGCTGAGTATATCCATCCAAAACATCAAAATGACAGCCTTCTCCTTACCTCTTAATACAGTGGGCAGGGGAGCAAAAAAACTAGAATTTATTTATTAAAAATTGTTTATTTATTCTTACATGTTTAACTTTAGTCACTTTCAAAGCACTCTCCATTTGATGCAATACACCTACTGAGATGCTTTTTCCACCGTTCAAAACAGTCTTTGAACTCATCAATTTTGATGTCTTTTAGTGCTTCTGTCTGTGGTTTTTTGTGTCACCTCTTCCACATTGGCAAAACATTTCCCTTTAAGGACTTGTTTTCATACGGGGAAACAAAAAAACAGTTGCTCAGGGAGAGATCAGATAAATACTGAGGGTGGGGCACAGGAGTAAAGCTGTTTTTGGTCAAAAACTGCTGAACACTCAGTTTGATAGAAGAACCAATCACCTGTTTGCCACAATTTGGGACATTTCTTGTGCAAATCGTGATGCAACATCCTCAAAACTTCCAGGTAAAAACTTTGGTTGATCATTTGATTCAGAGGAACAAATTCCAACTGTACTCAAAGGACCCAGCCTCCAAAAAAGTAATTCGAGTTTTTTTGGAGCCCCCTTCATATATTAGGAGTCAAAGGCAATTGACAGTCATAACCCTAAGATACCACAACATTCTGAAGCAAAATGTTAAACTATTTCCTGAAATATTTTAGTTGAATTTTAAGTTTTAATTTAATTCAATTTTAATTTGTAATTTGTAATTTATGTGTATATTAAACATATACTGAGTTCCTCACGATTTCACACATGTGAGATGTCTTAGGATTCTTTGAGCTCTGCATGGACAAGAATACTAAAAAGGCATGTTTCAGCTGTCACTGCCTGCTTTGTCTGAATAGTATTTCGCATTGCATAATTTGGCTTTTTCCAAATAAACTACAGAATCCTTGGAGCCTGAAAAATGGGAAAAAACTATACATTCTGTTTTCTAAAATTTCCCTTGGACAGTTAATTTATAGTTTACATATATTATAGCTAAACTATATAAAATATAGCCATAAATACAGACTATCAGGAAAGCTTGGAGTACCAAACCTAGTTTTACAACATAGATGCATTAAGTACAATGGAAATTAAAGATGCTTTGAGGAAACCTTGAACCTCTGTGGCAGTACAAAAGAAATCCTTCTTCTGGTGTTACTAGCATGCTATTTTATTGATGTAACCTAGCATTTACAATGAAGTTGTTAAATTATCACTGTGTCACTATCCTATAACCATACATTAAGAGCTACAGACAGAATATACATATGCAACACAAATTAAAAAAATAAGAACAGATATGTAGGCTTTTATTAGGGCAAGCATTTCCATAACCATAAAGATCTCTTTAAAACAAATAGATGTCTCAAGATTTTTGTTAGTGATCTAAAATAAAGTAACAATTAGTAAAATTAACCATAAATGAACACATTTCAGCCTATAAACCAACAAGTCTTCTCTAGATTTTTAACCTGTGACCTAATTACATTATTTTCCAAGTTGAATGATTAATGTGAAAATCATAATTAATATAGATGACACAGATAATACCGTACTTTTCCAAAGTAAAGAAATATACTTGATCTAATATTTTTATAAATCCTATTTGATATCATAAAATAAAAATATTTTTAACATCTCAGAAAAAACAGACATTATGAAAAGATATTGTATATAGACAATTTAAAAATCTTGTCAGACAAAATGTAAAATCTTTATTTGTCTATAAGCAAATGCTATAAAGCTAAAGTCTGCCAAAATAAAGAAGAAGCGATATTCTGAAATGAATGAAAAGTCAAGATTTCATGAAATAGTGACAATTATTTTTAATGTATAATAGATATATTAGAAATGCCATAGGGAACGTGAGCAGAACTATTTTCTGAAGTGGTGGTGACAAAGGACACATGTAGCTTTCAAAAATGCAAGAAACAGCACATTAACTTACCACCTCCTTCAAATAAAAGACATTCTTGGAAGAATCTAAGCACCATTAGCAGATACATCTTCTACCAGAAGATGAAATGTTTTGTATTTCAATAGAAAACTATTTCAGTGGTGAGAATGATGTAGGAATCAGAAGCATATTCTGCTGAGATACTAGGTAGTTGACACTTTCCCGAACTGAAAAAACATTTCATGAGAAGGTATATAAAGTTATTGACTGAATCACATTTTTTTCTAAAAATAATCTATATCTAGCAAAACAGCTTACCAGCCACCACAACTCTGGGATCCTCGTGAGACCGATGTCTCCCAGCTGCACGACTATCTGCACTCTCATTCCACCAAAGAACATGAACTGCAGAAATGAACCAAAATAGACAATTAAAAAACTGGTATTAGCAAACAAGAAATAACAGAAAAGTGAATAAAGAAGGTCTTATTCTTTAAACCACAATAGGTATATCTGAAAGATAATAAATATTTCCATGATAAAATTTCAAAAGGGTTCAGAGACTGACTAGAGAAATTTAGAAATTAACAAATCAAACTGGAAACAGAAAACTGAAGAGGGAGGTTTATACTTACACAGATCAAGGCATAATTTAGACCAGGTTTCATGACTTGCTACTATATTTTATTTTATTAAAAAAAGCAGGTTATACAAACTGTGATTACTCTATCAAATTTAGATGATACGAAGAAAAATCAAGTTAGCATAATCTTGTTATACATATAGTGTGTTTCCTTTAAAAAATGAGTAAACTAAATTAGAATCTTTCTGTACATTATGCTTAGTAACAGATTTTAAAAAATCAACAATATGAGAATCTTCTATGTCAATGATATTAATTTTAATGGCTATATAATTCCTCCTTATCTATATAACAAATATTTAATCCCAACCCCTTTTTGTTGATTATTTAATTATTCCCAGTATTGCAGTATTCTACAAAACACTGAAATAAGTGTTGTACATAATTTTTTAATAAATAAAATCTACATGTTGTTGTATTAATTTTGAAAACCACAGATAAATAAAAGGATAAAGTAAGAACCATCTGTAATCCTACCACTCCTAAATAACCACTTTTCTATTTTGGTATATCTTTCCCATATTTTTATATATGTGTATTTTTTATATGTTTATATACTTTTTATATACATGCAGCATACATGTTTATCCTTATATAGGCTGCATGATGTGATGTATATGGATGTCTACTTATATAAGCATATCTATTACATAAATAGGGTTATACCACATTGTTTCCAGTGCTTCCTTACTATAAACAAAGCTGACATAAACTTCATTAGAGCAGCACCAACACACATACCTATGATAATAAAAATTGTGACAACTACTACTAACATTTATTGGGTGATTTTTTTTTTTTTGAGTTGGAGTCTCACTCTGTCACCCAGACTGGAGTGCAGTGGCCACTCCCGGCCACTGCAGCCTTGACCTGCTGGGCTCCGGCGATCTGTCCGCTTTGGCCTTCCAAGCAGCTGGAACTGCAGGTGCGTGCTACCACGCCCGGCTAATTTTTGATTTATTGTAAAGATGAGGTCTTGCCAAGTTGCCTAGGCAGGTCTCGAACCTGCGGGCTCAGACAATCCACTCACCTCAGCCTTCCAAAGTGCGGGATTATAGGCTGAGCCACCGAGCCCAGCTTATTGGGTGATTCTTATGTGCCAGGCCTAGTTTTAAGAATTTAATGTATTTGCTTATTTGGTCATCATAATCATCAAAGGGTAGGTTATTATTTATCATCATTTTATTGATAAGGAAACAAAAGTATAGTGAGATTAAGCAATTTACCCAAGGTCACAAAGTTAGTAAGTGATAGCGCTAGGATTCAAATGCAGGTTGTCTGGATCTGATTATTTCCTTAATATAAACTCTTAAAATTTGAGTTGAGAAAACTAAATGTCATAGATACTGTGTCCTCCAGAAATGATATTCCAATTTATACTCAGCAGATTATTATTCTCCTAAAGGCTGAGAAAGAATTTAAGATTAAAAAATCTGTGTACACACATTTTTAAAAGTTTAAATAAAAATTATACTTTTTAGTATAGAAAATTAAAATAGAGCCTTTAAAAAAGCTTTAATCTTGTTCTCACTCATAAGTGGACCTTGAATAATTATCATAATACTGTAAGAAAGTGATTGGCAGTAAGTGGGAAATTGCCAGGGGACGGGGAGTGGGATTGGCAGCTGAGGAAAACTGCCAGGGGAGGGAGGGCACACTTCATCAACAAGGGTAACTGCATAATGAACATTTGTATACCTAACCCTGAAGTGTACCCTACATCTACAAAATTTTAAAAAGCTTTAATCTTATTATTCAAATATGATTCCTATATATTTTATGTCCTTTCACATTTCTTTAAGGTATAACTAAATACAACTACACACATACCTATTTCTCAGAAGTAATACTGGCAAAGACAAAAAATTAAGGCTTTTTATTTATATTGCCATGTTTTCAGAAGGAAACATTATACCAACATGAACTGTACACAGCATATAAGTACTTAATTTTTTCTCTGACCTAACACTTTATCTACATAAGTAGGTCATTGTTAGGTGTGAAAAATTCTATCTCATTATTGTTTTAATTTGCATCTTCAAAATATACTTAGTAGCTATTTTTATGTCTACCTTTGTATATGTTTGCAGTTTTCTTTTTACTTTAGGATTTCATTTGTGGTAGTTTGAAAATTTGAGTCCTTGTATAATAAAATCATCAATTAATTTTTTTTCCCTTCACAGTTCCTTCATTTACTCTTTGGCTTAGAAATAGTCCCCTAGCCGGGCTCGGTGGCTCAGCCTGTAATCCCGTGCCTTTGGGAGGCTGAGGAGAGTGGATTGCCTGAGCCCGCGGGTTCGAGACCTGCCTGGGCAGATGAGACCTCATCTCTACAATAAATTGAAAAATGACCCGGGTGTGGTAGCGCATGCCTGTAATTCCGGCTACTCGGAAGGCTGAGGCGGAAGGATCGCCGGAGCCCAGCAGGTTGAGGCTGCGGTGGCCGGGAGCGCCCACTGCACTCCAGTCCGGGCGACAGTAAGACTCCAGCTCAAAAAAAAAAAAAAAAAAATGAAACAGTCTCCAACCATATTATTAAATAAATTCATCTCTATGAATATGTGAGTTAATAATTCATCTATAAATTAATCTAATATTCCATCCATTTAATAATTCTTGACTTCATTTTTTTGCATTGACTCTACTTGGAGTGCCAAAAAATGTATACATATTTTAGGTGATGTTATCTGGGCATTACTTTTAGTTTGCTGTAATCAGAAGTGTCTAGAAGCTGATGGAAACCACTTTGAGCACCTCTTATAATTGCAGAAGTCAAATATTCAATGTACAAAATATTCTACAATTTTAATACAGTTTTTTCCCTTCTTAAAATATGTATACTTTTTGGGCACCCTTTGTATAAGTCATTTAAATTTTTTGTATATTCTGATTATTTTCTTTGGGTATGTTACTAAAAGTTGAATATCTGGGTAAAAACCAGGAGCTCAGCTTTAAATTTGTTAGGTTTGAGATGTCAAGTGAACATTCAAGTAGGGAAGTTGAGGAGATAATTGTAATATAATGAGTCTTTCAAATATTTTATTAGCTATTCTTAGCAATTTTTCCTTTCAGATGAACTTTGCACACATTTTTTAGATTTCTGCCACAAAAAACTCTCTGAAATTCTCACTGCAGTTACTGTCAACTCTAAATGCCCAAAATAGGTGTTTTATTAAATAAAGTTAGTCTGACTATCTGTTTATTAATAATGCTATCAAACATGCTAGGGTGTTACAAAGTTATTACCAATGATGAATATGTATTGCTTCTAGTCTGTTTATACCTAATAATATTTTGATCTTTGTATTTCTATGTCATTATATCCAAAGACCAAAATGTTGGCAGTGTTGTCCTAAAGTAATGGGAAATGAGCTAATACTTTTCTTTGAGTTTGTTCATGTTTTTAGCATTTGTAAAAAATATATAAGTACACTTTCTGAATGAAAGTGTACTTATATATTTTTTACAAATATACTTCACCTAATGTTAATTAATTAATTAATTTTTGAAAGCAGGATTTATTGGGGACAGAAAAGCTCCCACAGTGGGAGAGGACCCGAAGAGGTTGCCCCCACCTAATGTTATTTTAAAAAATCAGTAAGGCCACGGTGGCTCAGCCTATAATCCCAGCACTTTGGCCGAGGTGAGTGGATTGTCTGAGACTGAGGGTTCAAGACAAGCCCAAGCAACTTGGTGAGGCCTCTTCTCTACAATAAAAGAAAAATATTTAGCCAGGCGTGGTAGCGTGTGCCTATAGTTCCAGCAACTTGGAAGGCTGAGGTGGAAGGATTGTCAGAGCCCAGACGGTCGAAGCTGGGGTAGCCGTGAGTCTGCCACTGCACTCCAGCATGGTTGACAGAGTGAGACTCCAACTCAAAAAAAAAAAAAATCAATAAAAATATATTTAGAGGAAAAAAAGATGAAAATAATATTTTCTTGAGGAGCTCTCCAATTTTTAAAATTTATTATTTTTATGTATCAACAGAAAACAGCAGTCTAGCATTTGAAAAAGTTACCACAAGGTATTAACTTTCTAAAAAACTAAGATAAAAACTGTTTTTTTTTTGTTTTTTGTTTTGAGTTGGAGTCTTACTCTGTCACCCAGACTGGCGTGCAGTGGCCGCTCCCGGCCACTGCAGCTTCGACCTGTTGGGCTCCAGCGATCCTTCTGCTTCAGCCTTCCAAGTAGCTAGAACTACAGGTGCGTGCTATCACGCCCGGCTAATTTTTGATTTATTGTAGAGATGAGATCTTGCCAAGTTGCCCGGGCGGATCTCGAACCCGCAGGCTCAGGCAATCCACTCACCTCAGCTTCCCAAAGCACTGGGATTTCAGGCTGAGCCACTGAGCCCGGCAAAAACTGTTTTTATTCAACTCTTAATGTTACAAAAAACTAAAAATTTGGAAACAAAAATGAAAATAGAAACCATAATGAAAAAGAAAGACAAACTGACCCAAGAAACTTAATAGACCACCAATATACACTGTAATTTCATAAAATAAATGGACAACTGTACCTCGGTTGAGGTCTCCATACTCTGTGTGGAAAACACCAACTAGTTTTGAGTAGCCTAGATTAACATGGGCAGTAATTGCCCTTTTAAATGCATCACCCCACAGAGCTGGTCCACCAGGTTTCATCTGAAAAGTTGCCAGTTCATAGACTCCTAGAACAGGGGAAATAAATTATTATTATTTTTAATTTAAGTAATTTATTTTATTTATTTATTTATTATTATAAAGATATAGGGTATATAAACATCAGGGTTAGGTATATAAACATTGATTATGCAGGTACCCTTGTTGATGAGGGATGCCCCTCCCTCCCCTAGCAGTTTCCCTCAACTGCCAATCCCCCCACAACAGTTTCTCATTACTGTCAAGTGCTTTCTTATAGTATTATAATTGTTCAAGGTCCGCTTATGAATGAAAACATATGGTACTCTGTTCTTTGTTTCTGTGATAGATCACTGAGTATGATTGACCCCCAAATCCATCCAAGTTGCTGTGAAGTCCATATATTTGTCCTTATTTATGGCTGCATAATATTCCATTGTGTATATGTACCACATTTTCTTTATCCAGTCCAGCTTCGATAACAATAATTATTTTTAAGAAAATATTCAAGTAATTTTGAATCAGGTTTGTTTGGTTCCAGGAGAAGGCTAACTAATGTATACAGATTTGGAGGATAATCCATGTATATATATTTATGTAGTTGTTCTTATTAATTCTCTGCATTATTGTTCCTTGCTTTTATGTTTAGAAAGTCTGTGTTATGCTTAAGGGTCAGTGGTTAAGCTTAATCATAAAGAAATAGAGGCTGGGCTTGGTGGTTCAGCCCATAATCCCAGCACTTTGGGAGGCCAAGGAGAGTGGATTGCCTGAGCCTGCGGTTCGAGACCAGCCCAGGCAACTTGGCGAGACCTCATCTCTACAATAAAATAAAAAATTGCCGGGCATGATAGTGCTTGCCTGTAGTTCTGGCTACTCAGAAGGCTGAAGCAAAAGGATTGCTGGAGCCCAGAAGGTCGATGCTGGGATTACCATGAGCATGTGTGCCACTGCACTCCAGCCTGGGCGAAGGAGTGAAACTCCAACTCAAAAAAAAAAAAAAAGAAATAGAGGAAAAAAGGACTAGAAGCTATATATAAGCTACTATCTGAATATATATATATAATTACATATAAAAATATATAAAGTTATATATAAAATTATATATAAAAATATAAAATATATATAAAAATATAAAATATATATTAAAATATGTATATATTCAGATAGTAGCTTATATATAGCTTCTAGTCCTTTTTCCTCTATTTCTTTTTTTTTTTTTGAGTTGGAGTCTCACTCTGTCACCCAGGCTGGAGTGCAGTGGCACACTCACGACCACCCCAGTGTCCACCTGCTGGGCTCAGGAGATTCTTCCATTTCAACCTTCCAAGTAGCTGGAATTACAGGTGCAGTGTGTGCCACCATGCCTAGCTAATTTTTTTATTTATTGTAGAGATGAGGTCTCACCAAGTTGCCCAGGCTGGTCTCGAACCTGTCGGCTCAGGCAATCCTCTTATCTCAGCCTTCTAAAGTGCTGGGATTATAGGCTTGAGCCAATGTGCCCGGCCATCTGAAATATTTTTAATCTGTAAAACTTGCAAATAAAATATTCAGAATATATAATGAAATAGAATTTATGAACCGCCCAAATTTACACTTTTAAAAAAGAAATGAATAAGTATTTTCTCATCTCCTTCATTTCCCTCTTCTTTTAAATTTTGAGAGCAAATACTTTTCTCTTTGTATAATTTCCTCTATAGAATTCTATTTCTAATAAGAACAGCAAATAGCTGACCTGAAGTCATGTCTGAGCCTTTGAGGAAAAAAAGAAAACCCTGAAGAGATGGTTTTGTTTTCCCTAAATATCCAAGTAAATGCTTATAAAGCATTTTCCCTTCTGGTCAGAAGTATGAGGTGAATGGAGAGAAAGAAACTAGGGGACAAGGAGATTAGACAAGAAAAAGGAAAAAGTACAAAGTTACAAAAGAATTACGAGCAACACAGAAGAAGAGAATTAAGATCTGACACTAAGAAGCCAACTATTTTATTTAGACAGTGCTAAAAGCTGAGCTGCTGTTTAAGTGGGTAAAGATTCAAATAAAACTTTTCAAATATCTTGTCATCTAAAGTAAAATACAAAGTTGAGTTTATAAGGGAGATTGAAAATTAGATTAGTTTATGCTTTTCTAACCTGACCTGTGTTTAAAACTAGATTGAGGTAATTATTTCTTTAAGTAAGAAGTAAAATCAGCAAGAAGACAAATCTTAAGGAAGTATTCTCAAACTGAGAAACAACAAAGAAGGTACAAAAGTTAAACTACAATGCTACAGCTTAACAATTTAAGTTAATTTACTTCCCCTAAACAGTCAGTCTTATAAGTAAAGATGTACTTCATGATGTAAGATCAGCTGAATTTGTGGGAAAAATACCTATATATTTCAAAGTGTATACATTTTAAAACTATGACAACATTTCATAAACTACTCCTTACCTACTCTGCTCCCAATCTGCACTTCTCCAACTTTACTGACCATGTCAACTTTTTATATAACACAGCTAAACTTTAAGAGTCCGTCAGATTCTAATTTGGAAAATTACTTCAATATTTGAAGTAATTGTTTTAAGGATAAGCAAAGAGCTCAAATTCATGTTTATCTCTATAGTCACCATACATTCATATATAAAACGAAGAATTTAATTTTTTCCTGTGGAATTTTAGTGTTTATAGCTTTAGGTCTTTAGTATTTTATTCATTAAACTCAATGTCACAAAGGGAAGGACTCACCTGCTTTTGGAGGCTTTTCTAATTTGCACCATGGTACCAGATAAGTAATATCCAGCTCTTGCTTATCAACGAGAGCCCAATTTGGAATGATAAATTTTTCTTGCCATTCCTTATCTTTGGCTAAGCCTTTCCGAACTTCAGCTCGATGAGCAAAATTATCTATGGGAAGAAAAGGATTAAGAAAATGAAAACTTTTTATTTAAAATCACTATATTGGGATTTCATTCAATTCAGGAAAGTTTCATTGAGGCATATATGAATCCTGCGTTATGTCATTGGAGATACCAACATAAACAGAGGTGAAAAATGCCCTCAACTTACTTATGGTCTAAAAGAAGAGTAGGAATGTAAATAACAAATTATAATATCATATAATGGGTTTGATAGGCTCTACCACTTTAATAGGCAGTTGTGTGAATTAGGTCAGTTATTGAAGCCTTCTGTGCCTCAGAATCTTATTCTGTGAAATGGAGATAATACTACCTCCAGGGTTGTTGTGAGGATTAAATGAATACAGGAAAAGAGCTTAGAAAGTGTTTGACACCTTTGTAAGCACTCAGTATATGCTAACTATTCTTATGAATTAACTGAGGCATGTAATTTATACTGCTAGTTTAGAGAAAGACTACCTTTCCTTGGTGTTGGTGGTGGCAGGAATCAGGTCAAGGAACACTTTGACTCAAACTGAACATAAATGACTTTGAGATGTACTTTTTAAGTCTCTTTTCCTTTGAACAAAGAGTTTCCAAAGAAAGAGTGCTGACTCTTTTACTTATTGTCAATCATTCTTTTCCCTACAATCTATTTCTTTTCTTTCTCTGTTACCCAAACAGATATTCATTTACCAATGTAAGTACCTAGTAGAGCCTGCCCTTGACTCGACAGGTTCTGCATCTGTGCAACCAACTGTAGATCAAAAATATTTTTTTAAAAAATAAAAATAATATGAAAAAATATAAATCAAAACCAATACAGTATAACATTATTTACAAAGCATACACATTTCATTAAGTATTATAAGTAATTTAGAGATGATTTAAAATATATGAAAGGATGTGTGTAGGTTCTATGGAAATACTACACTATCTTCTAAAAGGGATTGAATTGATTTGATATCTGCAGGGAGTCCTGGAACTAACCTCCTGCAAATACAGAGGAACAATTATACTAACCAGGGCCTTCTAAGACTAATGATAAATGAGTTTTACATAATTTATGCTAGGGATAAGAAACAACACCTATCTTTATAACTTAAGTGTGTTATAAGGACTTTATTAGCAGTTTTTCTTTAATGGAACATGATTCAAATGTAATGGAACATGATTGTGGCATATCTAAAGCATACATTATGTTTTAATGGGGCTTGTTTTATTATAATAGGGGAAAACTAGAGAATGGCCATGTTAAGTATACAACAAACACTTTTCATATGAGGTTACTTTATGACTATTAACTTCGGATACTGATTAGGAAACACTAATGAAATTATTAAAGATTTTTAAAATATCATCAAGTCCTAATATGGACAGTTAAAGACCCAGGAGTAACAAACATTCTGGGAATTCTAGTAACTTGTTCTCCTTTCTCTAGGGGTAGGGCAGCTTCAATAAAGGAAAAATTCCGATTCCTTTTCCTTTACCTACCTAGAGAAGTATCATAGTGAATTCCTTGAAACTCTAGGGTACAGAAATGAAACACAAGTGGTTTATAAACATAACAAAGTTATTAAATCTCAGAGTTGGGTGAGGCTGAAAAGTTAACCATCATCTCCTATAAACCTCCATTTTCATAAAGCCCCTAATGGTTACACTTCTGCTCAAATGATAATAATCCATCCTCGCTTTAATAAGAAAAGATACTTTTCCTTTCCTTTTGTGATATTAACCTTCTTGGACTTTTACAATCATTGATTTATATTTTCCAAAAACCATCTTTACAACATACCATTCTAAAGTTTTTCTGAGAACTAAAGTCTAGTTCACAATTTTATGATTTTATATCTGAGACTCCACATTTTCCCATTTATGATGATGTAAGATCCAAGCAAGGGGTTGTTAGGGGTGTACCATTGGGAGGAATTATTGTTGATTCATTTTTTAAAATACTGCTTTTTAAAAGTTTTACTTAGCCTGTATGTACCTATAGTAATACAGACCCAAGAACTAAGTCTCATGTTACCTCAAACAGAATAATGAAAATCTGTACTGAACACTTAAACTGAAAAACGCATACCATATTTCCAAATATGAAACACTTTATTCACTCTGCCTCCAAATTCTACACTCCAAAATCCAACCAATTCAGAGTGAGCTGTCCGAAGATGAATGTGTTTCTTAACATTTTCCATGAACTCGTTCATTTTTGAAGGTTGAAGATAATAAGAACGAAATTCGTAGAATGTTTCATCACATTGTCTAGGGCCCGTAGCAAAAGATGAGCACATCTGAAGAAGATAAGGCAAATTTAAATATTTTGGGAAGGTAGGATTCACTCTATTACGCTACAACCAAATGTGAGTCTGGTTTGAGAGACACTCAGGAGACTAATGATCCCTGCTTGTATTTCAGTTGTTAACTCTTCATATACATTTGTTTACATAGAAATGTCAATAAAGATAACTACCTTTACATATAGCTACTGTTTCCTAGCAGAGGTCTAGCCCCATTTTCATGAGAAGTTGATCACAAGACAGCACTGGAATCTTAGTGATGCTCCCTTACCCAAGAACTCCATTAGTAATTTCATAAATTTACAAAGATTATTTACTAAATATTCCATCTTAATCAACACCATATGTATTAGCTACACGTTTAAAAGAACTTTGCAAAACATGCACATCATTTGGCAGGCCAAATGAAACTATGTTTACTAGCAGAAAATTCTTTAGGTTCCTAAGAAACTGGGAAAGGCTATCAGATCAAAGTATTTCCTAAATCGAATGATGAAGACCACTGGTCATAAACAGGACTGGAATGTAACTAATACTAAATGAAGCTAAGACCTATCTAACCACACTTTAAATAGGAGTAGACTATCTGAATTCTAAAAAGAAAAAAAAAAAATCAAAATTGTATGAATCATTGTTTGTAACTACAGATGCAACATGAAGAAGTACATTTAATGTCTCAATTATACCAAGTTGATGGAAATATTCTTAAGAACCATCACTTCCCTTTGTAATAGTCATAGGCTCAATAAGCACATTTCTGTAATTTGGTCCTCTTAACCTGAGGGAACTTAACTTTTAGTAGCAAATGCCCTGCCAGAAATCATTCTCTGAGTCTCTGTCTGTGTATTCAAATACATATGTATAAACACACACATCTATACACACAGATACATGTAGCATTTGTTTAAAAATCCATCTTAATGTAGGTTTGGTTAGCATGTGACCATTTATTAAAGCTGAGTAAACAGAATAATCTATCAGAACAGTTATGGCAGGCTTCTTTCACCTACATATTTTTGGTGATATCATAGAAATGCCTGTGTATTATATTTATGTGTAAAATGTCTTAATTATAATTGTCTCTCTTCAGGTCATTCCACTCATGTGCGCTGAGTTATGTGCTTATTTCCTGAATGTCTAAGTCTGCTTTAAAAGCAGTTCTTTCCACTAAAATTAATTTCTGCTACCACTGGACATTCTTTTTGGGTCAATTTAACCTAACACTAATAACAAAATGCTATGAAAATAAAAAGCTGCCTAATATCTATAGTTTAAAAAATATTATAAATATTTCAGAAAACGAGCTTACGGGCTATCTGTAACAATTGTTTTTTAAGTTGATTTTCAGGGATTTGTAATTGGAGATGCCAACCTAAAAAGGATATTAGAGATAATTATCTCCAAATATGTTGAATTTATTCAGAAAATGAGAAATGAAGACTATAAACCACAAATGCACAGAATAGCAAGGCACCAGTGCATGCAGAAAGGAAAGGGTAAAGGGGTACTTTTCTTAGCAAAAAGGAGAGGTTCTAAGCTGCTTAGAATTCATTAATTCCAGAGGCTCAAATCAGAGTTTACTGGCGAAGATGCCATTACTGGGCAAGTGTTCTTTCAAGAGCATCTTAGCTCAATTATTGCAAACCTAAAGAATATCTAGTGATAAACTTTGCTAAAGGAGGAGATGCATGCAGGAGGTGAAAGGGCTTCTGGTGGGATTTTATTTATTTATTTATTTAATTTCTAAATTTTTTTTGAGTTGGAGTGTCGCTCTGTCACCCAGACTGGAGTGCAATGGCCACTCCCGGCCACTGCAGCCTCGACCTGCTGGGCTCCGGCGATCCTTCCGCTCCAGCCTTCCAAGTAGCTGGAATTACAGGCGCGCGCTACTATGCCCGGCTGATTTTTTGATTTATTGTAGAGATGAGGTCTCGCCAAGTTGCCCAGGCGGGTCTCAAACCCGCGGGCTCAGGCAATCCACTCACCTCGGCCTCCCAAAGCGCAGGATTACAGGCTGAGCCACCAAGCCCGGCTCTGGTGGCATTTTAGTCCGTGAAACAGTTCTCATCCCAGACATGTAAGCATGAACCTCTTCTCCTTAATGCCCTCTTAACTCTATTTTATCTGGGTCTAACAAAAGTGATTTCACCTGGTATCTGCAACTTCCTCAGAGAACAAACAGGTGGCTAAATGCACACATTTTTAATTGACTTTCCCAGGGGAAATATGCAGTAGAGAAGCTCAGGGAAAGGTTAACTGCAGTGAGACCACAGTGTTTGGGGGTGGGGGTGAGTTTTTGTTGCAGCATAGACTATGTACTGGAGCAGAAACCATGTGCCCTTGTCTCCAAGTTAGGACTCATTTTCACCAGGAACGACTTCTAGTTCAATTGCAAGAGAGCAACTGGTACACATCTAAAAAGAACTCAAAGTTCTGTAAAACACTGTAAGGAAATTCTTGGCCCTGCCCCACTAGGGAGAATCATGAGAATATAGACTGCATTGTTAATCCTGGGTGAATGGACGTTAAGGGCCCTTCCTCAGGGCTCCCCAGCAAGTCTGTCTCTAGAACTGGATAATCCCCTTCCTATCTTTCCCCTTGAGAAAGGAGTCAAGTGCTAAATATCCACAGGAGAAGAAACCTCTGGGCTAGATTCACAGAATAGGCCAATGCCCGACAGTTAAGACTGAACCACGAGCTCCATTTTGCACATTTAAGGTTAAAAGTACTGGTTATCTTCGTGTTTGCTACGAGGCTCTGGACTCTGCCTGGCTTGGAGATCGATTGCAAAAAACTTGGCTGACGGGGCGGGGTCAGCCCACGGGGTCCCTGGACCTTCTCTCCAAGGTTCTCCACACAATGCTCCCAAGTCGTGCACTTTATTTAAAAGGGAGAGGCAGTTCAGTTGAAGAGGCTAGAAGGCCTGCCCCGCTTCGACCTGAAGTCTGGAGAGGGCGGTGGCTTGTAAAACCGCAGACCGCCAGGCGACCCCGTGGGTTGTCCGGAGCCACAGGTGCGACGATGCTGGGCGGGAAACAGGCAGCAGCCGTCGCTTCCAGGGGTGTCTTCAGGCTGCCCGGCACACAGGCCAGAAAAGCTCTCTTTCCGCGGCTGCCCGCGAGTCGATCGGGAGGCGACCCAGGCAAGCGGGTCTCCGAGGCAGCACCCTCCCACTCCCGCGCGTCGGGCACTGCAGTCTCAGGCGACCCGGCTGGCGGCAGAAGCTCGGCGGCGGCGCGGGGTTCCAGGTCGGGGCACGCGAGGCGAGGGCGCATGCGCACGGCTCGCAAGTTCCCGGAACACGCCCCGCTCCCCCACCCGGGCTCAGGGTCACCTCCGCGGCCGGTACCTGAGGCGCGAGCGTCCGCGCAGCCAGCGCCCTAGGCAGGCTGCTCCTGAGGACCAGCATGGTGAGGCTTCAGCGCTGAGAAGGGCCGCCAGCCGTGTCCTTCTGACACTTCTCCTCTTAGGGCTTCCGGACTGGAAAGGAGCTGCAAGCGCCCAATTGGGGGACGCCGGCAGGGGCGGGACCAGCTCCGCCCCGGGCCTGGGAGGCGCGGCCGGTCGGGCCAGTCCACGCGGTGTGTGTCTCTCCAGCGCTGACCCCTGCTTCGCCTCTGTTTCCTTAAACGTTCTTGGCCCAGACGTCAGAGGTGGAGTGGGACTGGCCGAGTGCTGAGATGCGCCCTGTCCCGCCTCTCTGGGCCACCACCTCATTCGCTGCAAAGCGCCGTGCACAGATGCGTGACTGTGCGGGGATGGCGCGGTGGTCCACGAGAGGGGCTGGGTGCGTGGACGCGCGCGTGTCAGGCTTTGTATGTGACAGCTGGAGGTTGTTGCCGGGGCCAAGTTTTATACGGTGTGGCAGACATAACTGTAGAGCAGCGAGTCTTCACTTTTCCGCACTGAGTGTGTCCTCCGTCTCCACTGTCATCCCAGCGTGATCTTGGGAGGCTCCCAAGAAAAGTAAATATTTTCCGCAGAAAATATGGAGTGGCTGCACCGAGCCTCATAGGAAAGAGTCAAATTTAAACATACATACTTTGAAACTAGCTCGTTCAGTACGCCATAAAAGCAAAACAGCGAACTTCTGATCTAGTCCTCTCAATCCTGGAGTATTGGTTCCCCTAGACTGGCACCTTCCACGTTTCAAGGTGTTTCTTCTGTATTTTATTTTATTTTATTTTATTCTATTTATTTATTTTTTTGAGTTGGAGTCTCACTCAGTCGCCCAGACTAGAGTGCAGTGGCCGCTCCCGGCCACCGCAGCCTCGCTTGCTGGGCTCCGGCGATCCTTCCGCCTCAGCCTTCCAAGTAGCCGGAATTACAGGCATGCGCTACCACGCCCGGCTGATTT